AGTGTCCTCCATAGCAAGACAGCAGAAATGGAGACACAGAAAGAAGCTCAGGTAGAATTCCAGCAGAAAGACGAATTGTCAGATAGAAAATAGAAGAGGGAAACAGGAAGCATGTGTTTGAAAGTTTCTGAGCTTACTGAGCAAGTTGAAGATATAAAGCACAAACTTCAACTAATGTCAAGTGAAAGAAGAAAGACCAGCATTACCAAGACTTGCACTCTGAACAGGAGAGTCTCAGGGAGCTGCGAACACCTAGTGATTCCTTGGTGACAAATGAAGCTCATCACAGCAGTCTTCCCACCTCAGCGCAGCAGTGTGAAGTGACCAATTCCTTGGTGGATAGAATAGGTTTTCAAGGGTATAAAGTATACTCTAAAGTATTTTTAAATATACAATCCACAACTTTTTGGGGAGCTGAATTTCTACAGTGATTACATTTAAACACTCTAATATGGGACCTTTCTAAAGATCTTTTCTAAAGTCTCCTGGATAAAATTATATTATGGAGTCAGCAGATTTCTCTTTCACAATGTCTATGTTGTATGTTTTCATTCTTCATGAGTTAAGAAAGTGCTCTTACATATTCCATTAGAGCTTAGAAATGGGAGTGTGATGTGAATGTTAACATCTCTATTTCCTTATGGCTACTTTTTATAGTTTAGGGTTATAGTCCTCAAACAAATATAAAAGCTTATTTCAGATTACCGAATCATTTTCTAACAATATACCCCGATACAAATCTGTGATTTGATATCAGTTGTTGAAAAAGACATTTCTTTCTTTATAGAATGTGAACCTCCTTACTTACATATGACTTTGTCCCTGTAGTCCACCAGCTAAACTACTAATGCTATAGAGTTGAGGACTCTCACTTTATTCTTTTTATCTACTGTTGTATGATGCCAATGGCAAGTGGTGAGGAGGCAGCAGTGGTAGTCGCAGTAAGGGTAGTCACAGCAGCTGGCCCCTGTTTGACAGATGACAGGAAGGTGATGTTCAGACATATGGTCTCTCAGAATCCAGATAGTAAGTGCAGTCTTAAGTCCCTGGGCTGGTTATGACACCTCACCTCCTTCTCCTACTGAAGAGTATCAGAACTGCTAAAGATGGAAGCTGAGCAATCTATATGGAATTGGTTAGCCTCATGTCTGTTAATCACAAAGAAAAATTTGTATAATGGCTACCTGGACTATTCCTAGAGAGAAAAACCATTTGAAATTTAAGTGTGTGCCAGTGTGGACGATCATACAACTAGAAGGTTTGTCTTCCTGACAAATATCTCGTTAGTGCCTTGCCCAGACAGGATGCCTCCTGAATGTTTATTTAATTGCGTTGACATTGGGATGGAGAAGGGAGAATGTGGTCGGAAATATGTCATTTGAAAAAAGGTGTGTAGCAGAGGCATTTAGCCAGTGTCTAGAGAGCAATACTTAAGCCTATTGGATCTTTTCTGATTCTTCCTCAAAAAATAAAATGCATTCTCATTATGTATTACAACCATAGGCTCTCCAGATCAAAAGCGACCACTGTGACACACACAGATCAGGTGAACGTGCTTGGGAAAGCAAAGATCTTCATCTGATGTGCGACAGAGATGTCCAGCAGGACCTAAGCCAAAAGACTGAGAGAGTCACCAAGACAGCGGCAGTCGATCTGGTGGGAGAAGGTCCTCAGGAGCAGTCTTTCAAAGAGAAAGCCCACCTCCAGGAGCACCTACAGAGCTTGATAAAGGATTTACAGGCCCTGTCTCTGGGAAGAAATCAGCAGGAAAACCAAAACGAACAGACGAATCACAAGAAAGTATCCCTTGTAAGGGAATCTGAAAGCCTGCAGAACAAGGGCTGTGAACTGCAACAAGAAGATCTGACTGTCACTAAAAGCTTGGAGGCTACAGGAATGCAGAAAGGTGAGGTGGCCATGAGGCTGAGCTCAACCCAGGACCAGGAGCATCTGAAGATAAATGACCTGAGGGTCAGCATAGAGGCTGACAAGAGCAAACACTTGGAGGAAATGAAAGCAACTGACAATAAGGAGGACAATCTTTCAAGCCAGGTGCAAATGGCTGGAAAAAGCCATGAGGCGACAATTCTTCATGCTGAGCATTCCAAAGCAGAGGTGGAGACCCTAAAAACTCAACTACAATCCATGAAAAAACACCTGACAGCTTCAGAATTGGACCTCATCAGAATCCGGTCCGAAAAAGAAAATCTGACCCAGCAGCTGCGAGAAAAACAGGGTCAAGTGACAGAGTTGGACACATCGCGTTCTTCACTGCTACAGCTGTTAGAGGCAAAGGAGGAAGAAAATCGGCACAGGCAAGAAGAGTCCAAAGCTGAAGGGGAAATGCTGGAAAAAGAATTAAAAGAGCTGATGAAGGAGGTGGCAGCTCTGTGTGATGACTCACAAGCCAGGAAGTTCCCAGAAGAGAGCTCCCCTATGCAGAGAGTGCAACAGCTGCACAAGAGCATCAAAAAGCTGAAAGACCAACTAGAAGACGATGACAAGAAACAATTCTTCGTCTTAGCAAAACTGCAGGAAACTAAGCATCAAGCAGAGTCGTTTAAGGGGGAAGTCGATCAACTTGAAAAAGAACTGAAAAAGGCCAAAAAAACCCATGAGCGGGCGACTCGGGAGGCACAGGGCTCCAAAGCAGAGGCAGACAAGTTGAAAGCCAAGCTAGAAGAGATGGCCCCAAGTCTGAAAGATCTCAGGTCAGAAAAAGAAAAACTGACCAAAGAATTACAAAAAGCGCAAGGACGCGTATGTGAATTAGAGCAGTTAAAAGCTTCCTTTGACAATCGATCACGAGAAAAAGAGCAGGAAATCGTTCGTGTGAAACAAGAATGTAAAGCTGTCCAGGAGCGGCTTCAAGCGCAAATAAAAGACCTGAAGGACAAACGGCCCTCCCTGGGTGATGGCCATGGGACCTGCAAGGCCAGAGAACAAGGCCTGAGTGCTCAAGTAGCTTATCTGCAGCTTGAGAAATGTCAGCTGCTGCAAGGCCTTGACCAGGCCAGAGGTCATTCCAGTATGTTGCTATCTTCTGTGAATGGCCTGGTTCAAGAATTAGAAGACAGCAAAGACAAACTAAAGAGGAGGGAGCAAGAGATAACCGTCTTAAAACATCAAATCCAGGACCCAGCACAGCAGGTCTCTAAGTTGTCCCAGCAAGGAGGAGAGCCCCAACTTCTAAAGAAGCAGAAAGAACTGGAGGGTCTGACTGTGCAATTGGAGCAGAAGATCCGAAGTCTGCAGTCCAAAAACCACACTTTGCAGGACACCTACAAAGTGCTGCAGAACTCCTCCAGGCACCTGCAGAAAGACCTGGAATCGATAAAAATGGAAAAGCAGTCCTATGTGGAAAGAGTAAGTGGCTTTTCCTACGTCTCTATATGTTGCCAGTAGTGAGGGAAACCACTGGTGAGTTGTATTTCCTTCACAAGTGAATTTGCAATGTTGGACCAAACTTTGTAAAGGCTTGATGAAGCATATGACCCCATCGTATGGGGTCTTGAACTTGGGGGGACATTGACTTGCCTGCAGTAGTAGTGAGTCTTTCTTTGCTTTGGCACTCATTTGCATGGGGACTCTTCTATGGACTGGACTTGCCCAGGTAGTCAGTGTGACACCTGGACATGGGAGAAGCTCTGGGTTATGTACAGTTCCTGGCTCCAATACACTTCCTTTTCACACAGTGCATCAGAATAGTAGCCTCCCCATGCCCAGGTGAGAACCACTGCTGCAGAGGGTGTACCAGGTACTAGTTAGGATCAGAAGGCATCCCCTTTTGTCCTTGTTGAGCCTTGATAGGCTTTAGGAGAAAGAAGTATTAAAAAGGGTGATCGAATTGTCACCAACAGAACCCTCATGGCTCCCAGTGTGTGTGTTGGGCATTCTGTGTTTTCAGCCCCTCTGTTGCACCTTTTCCCCCTGCAGGCTCCTGTTTTGTTCGCTGATGATTAACGGGAAGGTCCACCATGAAGTGGTTCCCCTGTTATGGAAATAAGTACTTGCCCTCCATGCTTGCTTAATGATCAAAGAAACTGATTCCTTCCAAACTCTTTTTTACTGCACAAATGTTACAGGAAAAAACTTGTGCCCAGAAAAATGCAATCAGTCAGAACTCTATTTTCAAGTGTGTTGAGTTTTTGGATGGCTTGCAAGAGATGGCCGTTTGGGTGGAAATGATGAGAAAAACTACACCCCACTGTTTCAATGTGAAGGGACAAATGCAAGCAGTAGAGTCAGTTTGCTCTAACTCATCATAGCCATGTGTCTTGCCTCTGAGTATGGCATTGCAGGGTTAGTAGAGGTCCAAGAAATGATAAAAATCTAAGATGCTGCATCATACCATAGTCTCTGATGTTTGAGTTGAATTCAAATTCATGCCTATATGCAGGGTTTTGATCCTTAGTAATGTTATCTTTCCTTGTCATTCTTTCCCCTACTGCTGTCCTTTCTTGAATCATTGCTGCAAACAAAAGGGAAGGTCACCAGTGAGACCTGAGCATGTTGGTTGAGTGATGAGTGAAGGGAGGGTTAGACATGGTGCATTTTCTCATGAGCCTGAAGTGAAGTGGTCACGACTGTTGTATCACAGGGATACAACATGCTCATTTGTTCAACATGCACAAGCAAAAGCAGCTCTAACGAATGATTCAATTTCAGGTAAACTCCTTGACTTTGAGGGAAACAGAGCTGAAGAGGAAAGTGCACGAGATAACCCAGAAAATGACAGACTTGAAAGAAGAATTCATTGGGGAGAAACATAGGCTAACTGAAGAATTAAATGTAATGTTGGAAGAAATGAAGCCCAAAGAAGTAAGTCCGTCTGTGACAGACAAGTAATTCAGTGTGCACACTCTCCTTGTGTGTTTCTGTAAGACCTTCTGTACTGTACCAAACGTTACTGAGCTTTTGAGAAAAAATCACTGGAGCGCTCCTGTCAGGATCAGACAAGCAGCGATCTTCGTGAGCCAGCACTGTTGTGGCCACAGATGGAGCCTTAAGCAGCCTCAGAGCACAGGACCTTACCTGTCTTGGAGCCCAACCATTTTTCTGTAGATGAGGACCCTGTACTCTACAAAGTCACTTCAGAAGTAGATTTCATTCCGATTTCAATAGGCTGCTTTCCTAGCCTGCCAGAGACTGCCAGCCAGAACGGTGCTACAGGCAGATGCACTGATCTTGCTGGGAACAAACAAAGTATCAGAAAGAAAGCTCCACTAAAATGTAGAGTTTAGGGCAGTCCTGGGTGCTGTTTTAGAAGAGGTTCATGGGGAAGATGTGTAGCATCTGGGCTCCCTCTCCCCACTGCTGTTCCCATAGCAGATTTTGCTGATTTCTATTGCCTCCCATTCTCCTGAAACTCAACACTGAGTCCCAGGAGCTGCCACCTGAATGCAGTGTTGCTAGGGGCAGTGAAACCTGTTTGCCACACCCAGTTACATGGTAAACATTCCAATAACCATCCTATCCTCATGCAGCTTCCCTCCAACAGAATCCTTACCAAAGGGCGGCACATAGAGTTGTGACTCTGACCCGGAATAAGGACAAAAAGGTTGAAATGATATTTGTAGTGGCATGTAGAAGAAGCTGTGGAAATTTGTACTTTTCTTCAAATACATTATGGCATCTGAGGAAAATTTACAAATGCTGGCATTTGTCCTGGCCAGGTAGCTCAGCTAGTAAGAGAGTCATCCTGACAAGCCAAGGTCATGGATTCAATCCCTGGTCAGGGTACATACAAGAATCACCAAGGAATACATGGATGGGCAAACAGCAAATTGATATTTTTCTCTCTCTTTCTCAAATCAATATTTTAGAAAATGTGAAGTTGTGCATTTAATCTCAGAAATTGTCATGAGTAGTTTTTTGGCAATCCTGCGTGAAGGGAGTTGCTACCGATGATACATTGAATGTAGCATCTGCTGAAATCTCCTCTAGTACTCAGCCACTTGGGGCTGTCCCAAAGATGCTCTTGATTGTACTTCATTTGTAGGCCCTAGTAAAAAGAAAAGCTGAATGTCTAGCCTCAAGGTTATACATCGGAGCATGTGAGCTTCCAGTGACTTAATTCATTCATTTATTCATTCTGTAAACAATAAGCATTGCCAGGGTTAGGCTGTAGAAGGTTGAACCAAAGCTCTCCAGTGCTTCTTGTACTCAGAGAGCTTACAGTCTAAGCACACAATAGGAAGCACAAAACACTCATAAACTGCTAAGTGCTACAAAGGATACAAATGAGATTGCTTATTGCAGAATAATTGGGAATTGTTGAGCAGGGTATGCATTAACCCAGTGTAGATGGGGGTAGTCAGAGAATGTTTCCTGTAGGAAGGGGTGTCAGCACCACAAAGAACTGGCTGGAGCTTGGAAGCTTCTGGGTGTAGAGAGAAATGTGGTAATGTCTTTGACATAAGAAAGATTTTTGTCCTTTTTTAGAAAATGAAAAGGAAGCCCTTGTGGCTGGAATGAAATGGAAAATGATATGAAAAAGAATGGGAGAAGAAGGAAGGCCATGGTAGAAGTGTTAGAATAAAATCTGAATTGACGCAAAATAAACAAGGCTGCAGTTTAAAGGAAAGGTTTGGAGTGGCTATATGCATTTGGCTAGTTTAGAAAACAGATCATAATTGAAGATGATGTGGGTGGTAGAAAATACAGACCAAGCCATTGGACCTCCAGCATGTAGGGGGAGAGGTGAGAGAAGAACAAGCAAAGACACTGAGAAGGTTGGATGTGGCCACACAGGGGAATGCCATGTCCTAGCAGCCAAGGAAGAGGTTCTCTCAAGATGAAGGAGTGATCAGCAGCCTGTGGACCTACTCAGAGGTCAAATGAGTGATCAAGGGCTGAATAGTGCTCCTGGGATCTACATCATAGAGGTATATGACAGCATGGAGCTGATTGAGGAGGAGTTGGTACAGGAGGAGCTGTGGTGAGGGCTAGTTGGAGTGGGTTGAGTGAATGGGAGATGAGGAGGGGGGCTTGGTCCGTGTGTATACATGCACGGGTAGAAGCAGCTGTGTGGGATCTGGCACAGGGAAGGCAGATGTCTCTAGGTGTGGGGTTTTGCATGTCCTGCAAAGACAAGGACGGTTGGGGGAGAATTGAGGGCACTTGGAAAGAAATTGTTACAGTGATAAAACTCGGCCTCTGAGCTGGTCAAGGAAGAAAGTGTCACTCTGGAGGGTTCGAGTGTGAAGGTTGTAATGGTGGTGCTGTTGATGAGGTCAAAGAAGTATTGCCATAGAAACACTCAAAGAAGCTAGCCCCATAGCCTAGGAGGGTAGAGTCCCAGAGTTGACCAACTAAAGTCAGGCTTCTGAGGTTTTGTGGTCCTGTGGATGTGACCTTGGGGGTGGCTGGGTAGAACTGAGGAAATTGTCAGAGGAGATGAGGTTGCAATTGGAAGTGAATGCATTGCTAAGGATCGTTCTACTATTCTGTATAGATTTTTGTTTTTCTCGTGAAGTAGTTTTTGCTCCTTAGTACTCAGTATTTCCTGAAGACATGTATCAAGGTTCTTAATTGTTTTCCCATGACTGTATTAATTTTCTCATTAGGCCCAACTGAAGGCATTGGTGCTAGAAAATGGTGACTTGAAGAGGAGCTTGGACCGCATACACAAACATCAGATGGAAAATCAGGAGAAAATGAGAGAAGAAATAGCTGAATATCAGAGACAGCTTGAGAAGGCTGAAAAGAGACACCAAACTTTGCTTCTGGATACAAACAAACAGGTGAAAAGTAGAGTTTGGTACCTTGGGGGAGCTGGAGACTGTGTGTAGACCATGCTAAGAACACACTTGTTTTTAACAACAAGTGTTGGAGAGGTTGTGGAGAAAAGGGATCCCTAGTGCACTTCTGGTGGGACTGCAGACTGGTACAACCACTATGGAAAGCAGTATGGAAGTTCCTCAGAAAACTAAAAATGGATCTGCCTTTTGACCCTGCAATTCCACTGCTGGGACTTTATCCTAAGAATACTAAAACACCAATTCAAAAGAACCTATGCATCCCAATGTTCATAGCAGCCCAATTTACAATAGCTAGATGCTGGAAGCAACCAAGGATCCATTCAGTAAATGAATGGATCAAAAAACTGTGGTACATTTACACAATGGAATTCTATGCAGCAGAAAGAAAGAAGGAGCTCCTACCCTTTGCAACAGCATGGATGGAACTGGAAAGCATTATGCTAAGCGAAATAAGCCAGGCAGTGAAAGACAAATAACATATGATCTCACCTTTAACAGGAACCTAAACAACGAAACAAAGAAACAAACAAAATGTAACCAAAGACACTGAAATAGAGGACAGGCTGACAATGACCACAGGGGAGAGTAGAGGGAATTTAAGGGGACAGTGGGAAGGGTTCACAGGAACAAACTTAAAGGACACACGGTCATAAACTAAGGGGAGGGTGGTAATGGGAGGGAAGTGGGGAGGGGTGGGAGGGGGAATGGATTGGGAGTCAAAAGGAGAAAACTGTATTTGAACAATGATTTAAAAAAATTTAAAAAAAATTTTAAAAAAAGAACACACTTGTTTTGCAAGAAGCTCAAACTTCTGCATTATTACTATGCTCTTAAGGTTTTAGGAAGGCTGCCCTCATATGAGCTGCATGATCTTTCTCCCAGTTCACCGCACAAACCTCATTAGACAACTGCAGCTGTGAAACTACATTTGCATCTCAGAGTAGAGTAGTAGGAGAGTGGCAGAGTCCATTTGAAATGGTCCTTGGAACAGCAGTTTTCTTTGGGGTTTGTTTTGCTGAAATAGCATTTTTCTGCCCTAGCATGAAGCGGAAATCCAGACATATAGAGAGAAACTCACTTCTACAGAAGAATGTCTCAGCTCACAGAAGGTGGAGATAGACCTCTTGAAGTCCAGCAAAGAACAGCTCAGTAATTCTTTGAAAGAAAACACTGAGCTTTTAGGAGAATTGATAAAAACCAAGGTATGTTTCCTTCTCATTGTCTTGTGACTGACAAGAGTATATACAGAAGAACTGTGATTTTAATGGGATTGACATGAGAGATTTCATTTGAATTTTTCTGAAAAAAGTGTTGTGCAGTTATGAATAATATCACTCAGGAATTCTTCTGAGCTCTTTTTAAAATCAGTGGATGGCCTATAGACTCATGGCTTGAATGAACTTCATTGCTCAGTGAATCCTCAAACTAGAGAATGTTAAAGACTTCTGGAGATGGACATGAAGATTAAAGCAATAACAAATTGGGGCAGGCCTCTCAGCTATAGGTAACACTTTGGTGGGTAATTGCAAACTCTTGCTTGATGGGTGTCCCAGTTCCCTGCTGTCACCAAACCCACTTACTTTCCTCTGGCTTCCAGGAAGGTCAAGGTGTGGCAAAACATTTGGTCAGGCACTTGGCACATGGATATGTCTATTCTCCTTTTCCTCTCTTTCTTGGCTAGAAACAAAAGGAGGTGGTCACTAGTCTCAGGAATCTGAGGCTGGAGATGGCACTTCTGTAATTCTCCTTGGAAAGGAGGCTCTTTGATTCCTACACAGATGTTTTTATAAAATGACTGCCATCTAGAAAGTACAATAATGAACCTGGAAAACAAATATCTTCCAGTAAAGGTCTTTAGTGAAAGAGGGTTTCATTTTTTTAAAATTATAGTATTGTTTATTGAATATATTCAATCAGAAAATGAGGTATCAACTCCTGAGGTTTATTTCTCCTCTACAATAATCAAGAGAAAGGAAATATACCAATATAACAGACACTCATAAAATTCCTAATAACATGAATGATCAATGGTGTTGTGTTCCTTGAAAGATAATAGGTTTCATAACAGAAGGATGTAGCTTCGGGCCTATTTCTTACACACTTTGTGCCTTTGTACTCTTTGACAGTTTTACTGTGGGGAATGTCTATTGGTATTCACACCATGTACAGAATGGTCCATTGTTGAGTCTATTCAGACCACATGTGATTTTAATGAGGTATACTTGACAAGCATTCTTGCCATTGACTTAATCTATCAGTAATGCAATTATGGATGGAATCAGAAATAGAAAATTTCACAAGTGAAGACAATTTTGGAACATTGCTTATGATGTCAGGATGAAATTTACATAGGATGAAATCACTAATAACATGAATATGGAGCTGACGTTTTGTTTTGGTTTTCATAGTTTGGTGAGCTTTTATATATTCATGATCTTCTACTAGAATCCCTTAGAGCTAAGTGGTTTCAGAATTCTGCATCTTTAGATGCTACATCAAACAGTGCAAGTGCCACATATTATGGAATACTCTAGCAGGAGGTAGGGTAATACTTCCTACCAGTTCATATTTCTCTACCAAAATATGTGAATATTCTGACAAGGTAGCATAAATACACACTCTAAATACCATGATATCAGGTCCAATTTTGCCTCTCAAACATTTGCAGTGCTTTTCTTTTTGCTTAAGGAAACATGAATTCTCCCACCTTTCTACCCACTTTCTAGTTGAGCTACATACAGAATTTAAATTGGTATTGTGAGCCATAATAGTGTTTAGTCTTCACCTGGTGTGACTAGAACAGATGCTATCTTAGGGATTATGATTCCATATCAGCACAAGATTACAGATGAAAACATAATTCTCAGAAATTTTGACCCACAAAGAATAAGTCCACGGACTCCTATCCCCACCCTCCTAGTTATGATTGCCATTGGATAAACACAGGCAGAGAGAGCCACTTAAACAGCATACTCTTAGGAATGATGCTTTGTGTTTGTGGATGCCAAGAAGGGGAGTCAGAAAACCAGTGTCTACCAGGGAGACTTAGGAAACTGAATAGAAAAGGTGAATTGTTTTATTCTTAATTAGATGTTTTAGTGTGAACATAACAATTCTTATATTGACAATATATGATTCTTAACACATTGTTTGTAGGTAGTTTTTATCGCTCACTCTACAACCAGTCAACATAAAACGTATAAATATATTTCCCGCATACAGTGTGTTAAGTATATCTCAATGATGATTTGCTTTGTTTTACTTGACATTTCTTAATTTTTTCTTCTTTTTTTAGAGAGAAAGGAAGGGAGGGAGAAAGACAGGGAGAGAAACATTGACCTGCAGTGTCAGAGAAACATGGATTTGTTACCTCTTGGAGGCCCCCAACCAGGGACTTGGCCTGCAGTACAGGCATGAGGCCAACCAGAAGCCTAATTAGCAACCTTTTGGTTCACAGATCAGCGTTCAACACACTGAGCAACACCAGCCAGGGCTCATAATGATCTTTCTATGTGCTAATAAAAAAAATGGCAGGTTCCAAATACAACTTTCTGTTTTGCAGATAAACAATCAAACACACATAAAGCAGCTGAAGAAGGAAAAGGAAGGTGCCCAGAGAAAGATCGATTTTTGTCTCAGACACTATAAGCTGATGGAAGAGGAGATGGAAGAGTTGCAGAAAAAGCTGTGTGAGCGTGAAGAAGCTGCACCAGAGAAGCAGAAACCAGGTGGGGTGAACTAGGCAAGGCCCTGGGCAGGGCCCTGTATGAGGCTGGCAAGGGCTGGTGTGGACACAGGCAGTGTCTCTGTGTCCCACTGTCCTACTGAGTGCTGATTCTTGGCAGTTGTCTATTTTCCAATTTCCCATTTTTGTACTCAGTGTGGGATCATTCATAGGAATCTGAGGGAAGCCTGTATTTTGACATAGAATAATCACATGTTCTCTTCCATCAAACATACAAAAAAAACCTGGCAGTCCTTTTTAGCTAATGGGAATTTCAGGAAGAGTTTTCCACATGATGTCCATTGACCTAGATCAGCATGACAGACAGAGTGCCATCTGAGCTGGCACTGTCAGGTTGCAGACACCGCTTTCTGGTTGTCCCTGGCCCATCCTCCTGGGTCAACTACATGGGAGGGTTGGGGGTTCTATTTTGAGGTGTGGAGATAAAATAAAAGTGAAAAGACAACTTTTCTCCACTTATTCCCCAGTGGAATGCTTCTTACTATGTGGAGAGATGATGATAAGCATTGTAGCAGTGGCTCTTCTGGACCAAGGCTCATCAGGGTGGTCCAGTGGTCTTTCCTACCCAGAAGAGACCTTGGAGTATATGGGGCTCCAGGGAGTTTTTCTAATGCATTTCCTGCCAACCACAGCAGCTAAAAGTTGAACAAGACTCCCACCGTTAGTGTCCCTGAAACTTTTGTCCACCAGACCCTTCATTGCTTAGAAATGTTTTATCAGAGCTTTTGTGGACCTGCTAAGTCCCTGGCCCCTTTCTGCCTCCCAAAGCCATTACAAAGGAGCAGACTTCATATTCTGGAATGACTTATGTTGTTCATTCAAGTGAGTGGGAAGCATGGACAGAGAACCTAGAGACGTGCAAAATTAATCTATTTGATGTCATATGAACAACTATAAGAAAGTTTCATGGGTTAGGTGCAATACCAGCGTGAGATTTTGTGGAGGTTTCATTTAAGCTCACCTAGTAAGACTTATATAATGTAGTAGAGTATTTACCCTGATATGATCCCTCCCAAATCAAAGGCTGTGAGAAATGTAAGAACATGCATAGACATACCTTCTCCACTTCTATCAAACAAAAAGATATTAAAAACAAATTTCAGGTTTGCTGCTTTATGATTTCCAAAGGCAATTAAAGAGTGTCATGCTGTGATTTTTGACAGGTGCTCTTGTGGATGCTCACGCAGATGAACTGATGACCAAGGTGAAAGAATTGAAAGCCACCCTTGAAGAAAAAAGCAAGGAGGCAGAAGAGTACTTGAATAAGTACTGTTCCCTGCTCACAAGCCACAAAAAGCTGGAGAGAGATAAAGAGATTTCAGAAGCCCAAGTGGCTCATCTGACTTCACAACAATCTCCACCCAATATCGAGATTTCCCCTTTGCTGAAGTCAGTTGATCCAGAGTCACTTCCAGTCCCTTGTGTTACTGAAACGAAGGGATCATCCAGCCAAACGAAAGCTTCAAGTAAGAGGCAAAGGTGCAGTGGGATTTCGGGAGAACAAGGGAGGAACAGCACCTTCCACACCACACACGTTTCCTAAAAGAAGCCGGAAGGCAGCCAAAAGGGGCACACCCCCTGCAGAGGATGTGGAAGACACTGAGCTTGAGCCCCAGGGACTTGCAGAAGTTGGAAAGGAAGGTGAGGCATAATTTAAAACAAAGTGGCCTGTGTTGTTTTGAAAGTTTACATGGAATTTCACATGCAAAAAAAGATAGGAGCATGGGGTTTGTGTTGACAATGCCATTGTAGGAGTTATTGTAAGAATTACCTTTTAAGATGTATATTTTCCTTTCTGTCATGAGAGACAGAATAGGATCCAGTAACCCATGTCACACTACACAAGGTGCTGGTAGCTTTGCAAAATGAGTGTTAAAATGCTCTTTTGCATTTGATATTCCTGTGCTGAAAAAATCCCCAAGTCTAGGACACCCTTTAAGCTTTCCTGTCTGTAGTCACATATGACTCAGGTAGTAGGTGAACTGGAGGAGGGGTCTGATGATATGGTCCCCTGGCTGAAGCCACACAGCACTTTTTCCAAGCCCCAGTGGTCCTTGAAGAGTGGCCCAAGGACAGGGAATGGTTTTTACTGGCTCATCACCTCCCACACCCCAAAAAATGTCCAGAAATCAACACTAAGACTTCAAAATATTCATAGCAATATGACATTGTCCCAACATCCCAGCACATGACCATTTTCCGGTGGATTCATTCTTCCTGTGTTACACAAAACTACCATTCCATAGCAGATGAGAAATTACCCCATCCCTGCCTCTCCAGAAAATGATCAAAGCTGATCCATTGCCATAGATGGTTTGATAACCACTGTTCTGAGTAACTCTATCCCTTAAGAAATCCATCCCCCCTAAGGGAGCCAACCTTTCTCATTGCTGTGTTTTCTTTGTAGTTCAAGGGTTAAAAACCAAAACAACCCAATGTTGCTTCAGTTAGCCATTAATGCAGCTCTGGGGTGTGTGTGATACCCTGTCTTTTAAGGTGCATGGCATTGACATTCTCCTTTTGGTCACCACAAGTCAGGTCAGTTCTGTGGAAGGAGGGTGGTGTATGAAGAGAGTGAAACTGGCATTAGTCTTAGGGAGGTGAGATCTCTGCCCCTCCGAGTCTCTGCATGACAGTGGTCACCCAAAGGAGCTCTTGGCATTTTACATTTTCTCCTGTAAACAAGAACTAGCCTTTCTGTTCTTTTTTTCTTTTCTTTTCTTTTTTTGGTGGTGGGGTGGTTGTTTTCTCTTCTCATTCTACTTCTCCCCATCTAAATTTTCAGGGCAGTTTGCTTGGTGTGTTCTTCAGATCTTAGTAAAACACAAGTTAACATGACCCCATAAGGAAGCAGGAACATTTTCCTGTTTGATATTATTTTTCCACTGTGACTTTTTTTTATGTTTCTAATAAGGGAAATCATCTTAGTTATTTATTCACTTTGACAACTCCCCGGGTGACTCTGAAGTTTATCCTTATCCTCTGTGGCTAGCAGAAAGCATTTTTGGAATTCTACTTATCTTTGTTAAAAATTGACCTCATGCATATCATGTTCATTGTAGATAGAACTGGACCTAGCAGTGCTGATAGGCAGCTTTTTTGTTTCTAGGGCCTGCTGCCATCCCAACAGGAAAGACAAGCCCCTACCTCCTGCGAAGTACAACCATGGCAAGCAGGAGCAGCCCACGCCTTGCCGCTCAGAAGTTAACACGCTCCCTCCTAAATATCTGCAAAGAGAGCCATGCTGGGACCTCCCAACCAACATCTGCTGGCAGCAGATCACAAAAGGTACCTCCTGTGAACAAGTCTCTACACTTGGAAATCCAGGAAATGACAGGGTTCTCTGGGCGAGTGTTTGACACTGCACCCTCTAACTTGGGAGCCCTTGAAAGACTGTGGTTCCTGTCCATGAAGTACAAAGGGTTGGTGGTGAGCAGCCATGAGGATACACATTAAGTGATCCAGCTGCAACCTGGCCCTTGACCCAGAAGGACACTTAGACAGTATGATGGGGAGTGGCCTTGTTCCACAGAATTCAAAGGGCTTGGAAGAAAGTTTCAGGCATTAGCACTGAAGGATTGGAAGAGGGACTTTTCATTTTGGCACAGGCCTTGGTCATGGTAATTTGGTACTTTCTCCTCTCCCCATACTGTCCATTCTTCAGGTTTTCTTCCTCCTTTACTTTCTGCCAAAAGAACACATTTCACTGGATGTCGAAAGTAAGGAGATGTTTATGCATTTCTCTGTTTTGCTTTTTTGAGGATTAGTATTTTCATGATCTCTGTTTCTTGCCAACAGCCTAGTAAACATTAGTTAACCATAGAGAATATTTACCCAATAAATCTGGTAGCATTTCAATAATCTACCACCTTCCACTGTCATTTATGTACACATAGTGTGTGCATTGTGTTGAACATTCACATTTTACTTTCTCACTTTATTGAACTCTGACTATAAGTACATTCATAACAGGATGAGGAAAGGAAGACTCAAATATTTAATGCCCAGAGTGAACACCTGCTCTCTCAGTGCCACAGTCTTGCTTTTCTCCCAGTTTTTGCAAACTAGGGATCCCAGAAATATAGTTGGATGCTGCTGGAATAGCATCAAGAATTTAAAGACTCTTGTGATTTTTTGGAAAGCAAACTACAGTGAGATTGGTGATTAGCTGAATCAAAGCAAGTGCATATTTGTGAACTAGTTTGTTGATGTATAAGACTTTTATGTATTATGGAATTTATATCTACTAATAAGTTTCTCCATAACTTACACTACAAAACGATCTTTTTAATTCAAGAGTGAGGAGGAAAGGCCAACATTTTCTTTCACTCATTGTAGTCGATCGTCCATTACTTGTGTTAGAAATATACTACCATTTTGTGCAACATTTCTCCCTCTATTATCTATCCCCCCATCCCTATCAGCCTCCCTACCTCCCTCCCATTTACATTTCACTTTTGGACTCTCGGAACAACAAAACACTGAAGAGAATATCCTGGGGTAGCTCCTTGCCAGTGTCCAGCTTCAGCAGGTCCAGGGATTCCCAATGGAGGGACGGCGTCGGCAGAGGAATGACACGAGAGGTGCTGTTCAAAGCTCAACAGCCAGGCATCTCTGCTGGCTCTTGAGTTCTTTATTTTTATACAGTTGGGTGTGTACATGTGGCATATGTGAAAGCAATCAAAATTCAGTTCTTAGGACATATTTGCTTTGTAATTGTTCTGCAGAAAATAAGACACAGACATAATAGGAAGTAGCTATCTATTGCATATTATTGTGCAAGCTTTTAGCTCCTAATCTTAGCAATTAATCAGTAACACATTTCACCACTTTATATAACACCTTAATTTCTTAAAGCTTAACTTATTTTAATATATATTCTAAAGCTGCAAGCTGGGCACATACATGAGCACAGGAATATTTTAGCTCATTGGCAAAGGCCATGCGGAAGGCTTTCGTGATCAATGCAGTTAGTACCTGTCTCTCGCTCCTCCCTTCAGTACCAGAACCCTGTCTTTCTATGCAAGGAATAATCTTTGTTTTGCTCAGTCCATTCAGCTGCCTGCCATCCACCTTGGTATTGATGCATTTTCATTATTTGTTTCCATCTTTGATGTCTGACATTTTTAGGCCAGAAACACCATGGGGGTCCCCTGATCGCTAGGAACAAGGGAGTGTGATGTGTGTAGACCTGATCTGAACCTGGGGGTGGGCAGTGCCAGTGGATGGACCACTAAGGTTTAGAGGAGGATGGTGATGCCCTCACCAGAGCATCTGTCAGTCAGCAGTTCTGTGGGACTTTGTGCTTTTTCCCTACTAATAAGGTTCATTTTCACACAGCCATCCATATCCTTGCCCTCTCCCCACTGTGAACACTGACATATTTGTAAGACAGGGTTTGGGTGAACTTGAGAGTTTAAGGACCTGCTGAATTTGACCTCACCTTGTTATCAACAGGTCTGAGCATAAGCAACCAGCCTCAGAGTCACATCCATAGTTTAAACCCAGGTCACCAATGTAATTTCCTCAATTCATATAAGAGAAATTGAATCTAGAGGCAAGGGAAGTCCAGGGATATACTTTGACTATTGAATTAGGGTGAAGAAAGAGTTTTGCTAGCTCAAATTCTCTTTCTCAGTGTGATATCTCTCACTCTCTCTTTTTTTATGGTGAACCTAAAAATTTGAATCCCCAGACTCTGAGCGGTTCAAGGGAAATGCCTGTCCTTTATATCACTTTCCACTCTAAAACAAAAGAAAGAGTACTAGTAAAAGTGTTTGTCTCATCAATGTTCCACATATGTTAATTTGCCATTCAGTCCTCATCCTGACCCTTCAGGGCTGCTGCCCCTTTTAAGTGTCCTGCAGGTGGTCTGAGGTACAGGCAGGCTTTCCAGGTGTATAATCTGTTGTCCAGATGTGCTGTGTTTTCTCTTATGAGAAGTATTGAGCTGCCTTTTAAAAACTGCATACTTCCTATGGAAAGAATATAAATGGGGGAAATAATTGCCATTCTTTCTTCTTGTAGCTTCACAAGGAGGTCATTGGCAGGCACTGGCTCAGGAAGTGACCTGTCACAGTGCTGCCTCTCAGGGCCAGGACTGAACATACATTGCCCTTGTGAGAGTCTGTCCTCTGTTTCTCTGTGTTCCATCTGGTTTGGTTTCAAAGATCTTCTTCCTGCAATCTCTGCAAAACTGTTACCTTTACCTTTGGCTAAGTGAAGCCTTTGCATACTTCATCTGTCTTGTTCCTCTTTCTCTTCTGACCGCTGTCTTCTTTCACTAATATGTAAACCTCCAAGAAAGTCTTGACTCACATCTGCTTCTTAAAACCTTACATTTCCTGAGTTCCTTTTTTCTCCTTAAAGGCAGGCCATCAGAAAGGGGATGTACTTCCCCTGACTTGTATTATATTGGTGCCCTCTGCTATCATGCAGATCTGAACTGGAAATCACATAAAGATGACCTGAGTATGATTAATATGTTACAGGAAGGCAGGTGTGAGGTCTTGTCAATATTGTAAAGAAGGCTTACATCCCATGAAGGTGGTGTCACTCATTTGGGTTACATTCATTTGAATGACAGTGGCAGCTCCAGTAAGATAAATGGAAGCTGGTTTGGGTTCTCTCTTAGGTGTATGTTGAAAGTTTGCTAGGTACTCAGGGGACACAAAGGTAACGAGGCCAAGTCCTTGCCCTGAAAGAGCTTCCGTCTGGTGTGACAGTGAAACACTGGCCTTGCGGGGAGGTCTCTGGCCATCAGAGGTGTCAAGGAAGGTTTGCAAGGTGCCTCGTCAGGGGTCGTGACAGGTGTCTTCCTAGCTCTTAGGTAGGACCTGTCCTTAGGTAAGAAGAAAGGGTAACACTGTGTACAAGACGTGGGGAAGAAGAATCTGACTTCAAGTTTGATTACAAATTCGCTGTAGGAATGTCAATGTGATTGAAGCCTCTGACAAAGATGCTTGTTTTGCAGGTGAAGGTGGCTCAGCAAAGCCCCTCGGATTCAGGCACCATCCTCCAAGACCCTTCAGCCAGACCTCTCTTGGCCAGTAAGCTCCGTAAGAGACAGTGGGCCAGTGGCCCCAGCGAGGGCCTGAAGTCCAAGCGAGGCTGCCCCGCACCCAGCTCGGAAGCTGGCACCCAGTCCCGTGAGACCTGTAGCATCCAGTAGAAGAGACCTTGTGTGTTAGGGCCCCTGGCAGGTGGCCACAGTTGGGTGTTAAGCTAGGTACCCACAGGGGCTTTTATTTACTCAGGGACACATTATCAGTAGGAAGAAAGCAATTTCTCAGAAATCTAAATGTACTGTACTCTTTAGATATCCCATTGGGAGTATTAGAAAAGTTTGGAAGCCCTAATCACCTACCTATTTCTTACTGATGTGCCTCCTGCATTCTGTGCATAGTAGTGTAGAAAGACTTTTGGAAGTATTACACTTGAGAGTCAAGCATGGTCTCCCTTCTCTGTGTGTGTGTGTAGTTTGAAAATACAAAACAATTTATACTTCCAATTAACTGCTCCAGGAAAATGTAATCTTGCCTTGTGCTATTTCCTATGTACTATTCCTTGTACTAGACATGAAATACTTTCAGAGAACTTGTTAGAGCTGAGTCAAATGAAGGAAAGCCATGTTGTATGCTTTTAAGGAAAACGTGCTCAAATATTCACTATGGCAGCCTCGTTGCTGGCCCCTTAAGATGTAATGTATCAAATGTTCTTTTATGGTGATAAGTTCTTTGAAAAGGCCAATATGGTGTGCATTCCCCTAAATGGTGATGTTGTATTAAAACAAGGCATTTTGTTCTCGTAAAACTTACCTCTGTTTCTGTAAAAATGATTCCTAAACATAAATGCATTATGAACACTGGGACCACTTGTTGCCAATTGCAACAACCTCTTACCAAAGTAAAACTGTTCCAGCATTAATACCACTAGACCTGGGGAACATGCTCAGTTCCCGTAAAAGGCGGTTGGGAATGTGGGTCATGAAAAATCATGTGGGGACAAGCCACATCCAGGCAGCGTCGTCCACACATTGTGGGTCCCCATTAACTCATACCAGCAAGGGTGCAGGTATGTGGTATTTTCCAGCTCACATTGATAACAGGGTTCTGAAGACATGCAGGCATTATGAGCCAAACCAAACCTAACAATTCTACAGCTAGTCTTCTTGTCCTTGAATCAGGGAATCAAATGTTTCCAGGACATGAGGTAGTAAAAGATGATTTACTCTTGGCTTTTGGTTCAGACTGGTGTAGACAACTTGACCAGTACTCTCACATATTGTTTAAAACTGTCCTTTATAAGGTGGACTCTATTGTTGTCTAATGCTTTGGTAATATGAAAGTACTTAGTATTCATCTACTAAAAGTCGACATCCTTGCTTTCTTCCTGCTTCTTCAGTCACTTGAGATTTGGGTGTGATGCAATGATATCCATGTCATCAATCCTCCCAAGGCTACCATGAGGTCAAGGGTGTGGCCCGAGCACACAGTGCTGGGACCAGGCCATCAGCTTTATTGGCTGTCCCCAGTTAGTGGAAGATTGCACTCACTAGGTCTGGCTGAGTAGTTCTGTGGGACCTGGAAAAACTCTTCCTCTTTGTTGGGGTGGACTGTAGCTACTACTCCTTCCTGGTTAGGGGGAATACTTGGCATGTCTTCCATTTTCAAGTTCACAACCTTATAAACAAACAGCCAGGACATTACTCCTTTCGTCGAGCTAACAACACTCATAGACTAGGAGCTGAGCTGCATGTACGATGAAAAGTAAACATGCTGCAGTCCAGGCTCTGATATAAGCAGTGGAGTCACAAATACCAGCACAGCTGACACATCGAGGGGGAACTAGCCCAAGTCCATACAGGTCTAGGAATCCAATTCTCCTCTGTACAATGTGGGGTTGGCTGAGACCATGTTTTTCATCTTAAATATTCTGCAGGAACTGAGATGGTTCTCTGTTTTGGGGAATAATCAAGAGTCCAAAGGGGCTGCATCTTCCATGAGAAGGAAAGAAAAAACAACATTTCAATGTAGCCAGATTTCTTAAGAGTCACCTCTGCACACACTTACCTCTTTGAGATTTCATTGTGGTTTTTCTCAGTTGATGCCAACCCCTATTGTTGGAACTATCATTTGCACAGATATGTTTGGACCTGAGAGGAACTCAGGGTATATCTTTCCAGGGCTCCCTGGACACTAGGTGGGGAGACGTGTGCTGCTTCCATTCTTCTGAGTCCAGCACATAGCAGGAAAGAACATCGATCCTACAATTTCCAAGTTCTTCCAAACTCATTCAGGTTGTGTCCATTTGTCTTGAAAATAATTTAAATGGAAAATAAACTACGATCAATTATTTTAAATCAGAAGTTGTACTAGTCATTGCCTTAGAGTTTATATTTCTGTCTTGTTGTTGAGAAACGGGATGCTAAGTACTGGATTTGGTTGTGGAGGATAGTTGAGCTCTGCTCTCCCTGCCACTTAGTTTCCTGTCATAGCATAGAGGAAGGGCTTTGTGCCAGCTTCCCTGACTAGAGAGAACAACTTGAAGTGCTTCAGGACAACCATCCGAATTAGAAAAGTCTGAGGACCTCGAGCTCGTATCCTGCCTCCTGGAACACTTAGGTATCTGATGCCACCACTCCCCTGAGCTAGGGTCATAGAGTTGAACTATTTCAACCTCAGCTTTGTGAATAAAGTGCCCCCCATCTTGTGCCTCTCCAGGTGCTGGCAGTCCAGAGGAGTCTTCATAGGACAGATATTCAGGTGATAGAAGCATTTCTATTTTTAGAAAACATTTCAAATGTTTCAAAACTCATTAATTCTAGAGAGAGTGAGAAACAGAGGGAGAATCACCATCAACTTTTATTGTTCCACATTAACAAATGTATTATTTATCGTCCTTAATCCTCTCCCTGCTCTATGTGCATTGATTTTAGAGAGAGAGAGAAATGGGGAGAGAGAAAGAATGAAGTACTAATCAGTTATCTTCTGTATGCACCCCAACCAGGGATAGAAACAATAACCTAGGTATATGCCCTGATTGGGAACTGAAACCACAACCTTGGTGTATTAGGTCAACACCCTAATCAACTGAGCTACTTGGCCTGGGCTGCATTTCTACTCTCTATGTGCAATGCAGATGTCCTTAAGTGTGGGATGCTGCCATCTGACTTATGCTATTAAATTTTCAAAAAATATAAAATGAGATTAGAATCAATTTCAACTTCTAAATTTATTACTAAGTTAGAGCCTAAACAGGATTTACTCTAGTGAAATATTTTCAAAGAGTCTCTATTGGAAAACTTTTCAAAATCTACAGGATTTGTGAGGGTCTGAGTACAAAACTTTAGTATAAACTTAAATATTAAAAGTGAAAATCAGGTGTTAAAATCCTTGAACTCGCATGTGACCTTGGGCAATTTAATTCACTGTGCCTCAGATTCCTCTGGTAATATTGGGAATACTGGTCAGAATCTCTTGAGGCTTTCACAGCAATTAAATTAGTTCATATTTAACTCGGTGTGTGATTTTGTACTCAGTAAGAGGTTGGTTAGTCTCTACAGATAATTGAACACAATTAGAAAGATTGCAGCTTAAAATTGTTAGATAAACCTCTTTGCCTAACAGAATGCATTTATTTCAAAGTAAGTTGTTCCTACAACATTCTCATCACCCTCAATAGTATTAATTCTTATTTTGTAAGTTTCATCATTATAGATTTGTACATATCATTCAATTGCTGATGTTACAAATGAATTTCCACAGATGCATGTGTGTATGTGTGTGTGTTGTCATTGTTGTTGTTGTTGTTTTGGGTTCTTCTTATTACCCAAAGAAAAACAATTATTGCAGCAATTACAAGTGAATAGTATTGCTGAAGTTTGTATAAAAATTGGTCAGTTGGAACCCAGAATACATTTCCTTATACAAACAGCATTGTAAATTATGCCTAAATTCAAGTCCACAAGAGTCAGTTTAACTTATAATATGTTCCAGTGACCGTGAAGTTTGGTTCCACTATACAGAACTTCCATCATAGCACTGTTTGTCTAACAAAAACATACCGCAAGCATTGGGCTATAAGAAACTCATTTGTCTTCCCAGCAACAATTTTCCAGTGTTGGGTCTTAAATGAGAACAGATCCTCTTAGTGTTGAAATCGTAGGTGTGTAACCCAAGAGAGCATTTCCTGGCTGGATGCTCACCCCTTCCCACTAGACCTTGGGCAGTCCACATGAGGGTGTTGTATGTCCTAGACACCACCTGCTGCTGGTTGTATCACTCATCTTGGACTTGGGGCAGCAGAGGGTCATGAGGGTGCTCTGTGCTAACCCACAGCTCTTGTTCTCCTCTGTGCCATTTATGGGCACCTTGTATACCATGCCTACCCAGGGGGCTGAGGGCACTGTCCTTAGAATCACAAACATGTGGGGAGACTAAGAGGTGCCATTCTGTGATTTCTAAACAGGTTCAGGGAGTACAGAGACTGTTTCCCTCTGAAACAGCTATGATTGTAGCAGATGGGTGAACCACCTTGCTGTTTTGAGAGGCTGGACATTCCTATGAGACCATTAGGGCCTCCCTCTATGTGGATCTAGCAGATGAGTATAGATGTGCATTTGACATTTTTCTTTTTTAGGAAACTTTTCTTCTTGACCCAAGGATTATGTTGTTATTGAATTTAGAGAGAGAGAAAGGAGGTAAAGAGAGAGCGAGAGACGTTGATGTGAGAGACAAACCTCGATCAGTTGCCTCCCATAAGCACCCCTACAGGGGATCAAACCCTCAACCTAGGTATATGCTCTGACCAGGAATCAAACCTGCAACCTTGTAGTTGATGGGATCATGCTCCAACCAACTGAGCCACCTGGCCCTGGTGCATATAAGATATTGTAATGGAAGAGATCTGTCATTCATAGGATTTAAAACCAGTCCTTTCTGAGATTTACTTCACATTCCACTTACCAATCTGTTGTCATGAAAACCAGAAGCCCAAGTTAGTCTCCTAAATCTTGTCTAACATGAATAACCAAGTTGGATGTTTCCCTTCCTTGAGATGGTAAAAAGTCTTTGAAGGAGAGAATATGTTGCTTTTTAAGAATCACACTGATTTCCCAAATGTGACATAGATGAAAGGCAATGGATATTTATTTTTTTAAACAAATTCAGTCAAATGTTTTTATCATTATCCCCAGACAGAAAAGTTTGGTTTCTGTGGTAGAGATGACTGATCACCCACCCAACTGTCCCTTCTACTTTCTTGTCATTAGAAACCCCCTTTGTGCCCAGATGTTGGGCAGCATTTGCTTAAGAAACATGACCCTCTTACCAGGGAAGGAATATAGTTAGCATAAGCCATATGGTCACACCATTCTCTTTCTCCAGGACTGGTTATGATGACCACTTGCAGCAACTGATTCTGTGACCAAAACAGATAGAGCATTTCCAAAACATAGGATGCCCCGTCAGAAAGATGGGTCTTTCATACCTTTGTTAAACCTCAGAACCAATCTTGGACTTCTTCTCAAACCAGAAAATATATCATGATTTTCTAAAGCAACTTCCAGTTGGAAGTTCTGCGACTTCAGTCACAACCTTCTTGATGCAATTGCAAAGTCAGTTTTCTGCTATTTTTTCAATTTTTTCTTACTCAGCAACTACACTCTCTACGCCTACAGTTTCTTTGAGTTTGGCCTGCTACCCGAGCAAGAGAGCCATCCAAATCCATTGGCTTAATGACCTTCCTTTCTCTGCCATGAAAAGCAGTTCTGCTTAAATTGGCAATGGGCACCTATCTGAAACCTAAGTTACACAGGAGGAAGGATGTAGAAATACATACTTTCTAATGCCTCTTGATGATCACCTACAGTTAATCATTATTCTGCCTATTGTGATTTTCCTAAACAT